TCTCTGTGCACATTCATCTAATCTGCCCCTCATGGATATATGTGATTGATTCTGTTTATGGCCCTCTGGGATAATTCAGGAAAACAACTCCGAAGATTCACGATTTAAACGTCTTTTGCCACAGTGAGTAACATTCACAGGTTCTGGAGATTAAGCAGTGATAAATCTTTGCTGAAGCATTGTCTTCTTCCTGCTACACTTGGCTTGGGAAGTGGATACCCTCTGTTGTCAGCTCCCAGAGGTCAAACAAGCTAATAAACCTAGACATTCCAGACAGTTGCCGAACCTTGCCTTAAGCTGAGAGCAGGGACAAAATGGACATCTTTGTGTTTGATGGAAAACAAATAAAATCTTTTTGACAAACTTTAGTTCTGATATGCTGTATTTTGTTTTAAACCTATAATAAAAAGTAAAAATCCCATCTAAGGAAGAGGGGCACCCCTAATTTTGCATACCCCTAAAGTAGTACTTAACATACATTTTATTTTTATTGCGGAAAGTAATGTTTCCTCAGAGAAAATTATCAATGATCATATGGCCATGGGACCTAACATGATTACTGTTTGTCCCCACTCCCTTCTGCCAGTACAGCCTGACCCGCTGGATCCTTCTGTCCAGAGTACAGATCACATGGACCTGGAAGATGTGAGCTCATAGAAGCAAAAATGGATTGACCTTAATTCAGATTATTTTTTTCTTAAATTTAGAAGGCTTCTACTTGTTTATTTTCTTTGCCATGGGGAAATCAAACTAATGCCTGGGGAAGTTAGGAATTGAACAAATTCAGTTGGTAAGTTTAGGTAAATCCTTGTTATAGCCTTGGGTTGTGACTGGGGTCACATTAAAACAATAAAAGTAGAAGTTACAAAGGAAAGAACCAAAAAAATTTAACCACATAATAAAAAATTTTTGCATGGCGGCCAGACTACTTACAGAGTAGAGTAAGGGGATTCCCTGAGATGAAACCAACGACCTATTTAATACCTCCACCTGAGGTTTACCTGACAGATACTGGGGCTTAGAAAATGATAGCCCAAAGTGAAGGCCTCAAGCAAAGTTTTCTCTTACCATCTGCCCTCCTGTATCTCACCCCTCACTCTCCACTAATGCAAATTATAGAAATTAGAAATTCTCTTCAAGTGAAGTCATAGAAACCAGAACACATTTTCTCCAAAGCCAACCATGAAACCTAGAAATACCACTTTACTCTTCCTTGCTTTTCTGTCTTCAAGCTACCTTGTCTGGTAGATCATAAAAGGTCCCATGCCATAGCCAGGAGGAAGGAATACTGCACAGAGGCTATGGTTTCGCTGGGTTTCCCTACATGGTCCATTAGTATTAGATCATGCTTTTTTTTTTTTTTTTGGTCTTCTTAATCACATATCTGCACATGCTTCTTTGAACCTAAGCATAAAAATGGGTAGTCCACTTGATCTTGGGTATTCATTCTGAAGGCTCTTCCCCCCCCCCCCCAAGGACATTGATCTGCCTTTTACTTTGAGAGCCAAATAAAAGTTTAGTATCTGAAACATTTTCAACAAAATTTTTGTGCATAATGTAAATAACAGCATCAGGGACTGCTATAAATTTGCATCATACTGCATTCAGGATGTTTCATCAATAAATGGGACTCTTAAATGCTTGTGACTGCTGAAAATGATTCCAGCTGTTCATCGAATACCATGTGGGATTTTTCTACAGATATTTCATACATTAAATTCAATCTATATTCTGAACAAAAACTTGAGTCATTCACATAGTGTTGAAGCAAATGATACAGTCTGTATTTGAACTGCACTGCCCATCCACAGACTCAGGCTGCCTTTAGCAGAAACACCTTCTGTCTCGGATCAGCTGCATCAAGATGGATCATCAGCTAGGTCATGCTGGTCAAAATAACTGCTAAACAAGCAGATTAATAAATTCAAAACAGGAGCCCCCATCTTTGGTGTACACTGAGAGCCTCACTTGAAAGCACCTTCTTGCAAGCTGCCAAATCGGAGTGAGCTTTGGGAAGTAAAGGCTTCTCAAGGGATGCCAATAAAGTATGTAAAAGCATGTTCCCAATTTGAGATTAAAGTCTTTTTCTCCAAACCAATTACTCAGATATTCCAAGACACTAGTTACTGTTGCCTGATTCATTCTGCTAACAGTACTAAGCAAGGAAGGAAATCCAATTTGTACAAAATCAATTCCAGGACTTTGATTTATAGTTGGCCCAACAGCCCCTTCAGCACATAACTTTTCTCCTAGACAGAATTTTTTCCAACTTTCTTCATCAGATTTTGATATAGTCACATTACTTGCCAACTACTGTGATTTCTGTTCACATTCTGTTGAGCAGCTGAAAACTGCCACTTGTTGCTGTTCCAACTGAAGTATTGGGGTTCAACCTTCACACTTTGCTTCCTTTTCAACTTCTTTAGTTCAATTTGAGCTACCACACATCTGGACCCTGAGCTGCTTGAGGGCACTGAGGCTCCTTAGGGGTACTGAGGAATTGAAACCTTCCCTCAGGTCACAGGGCTCTACTGGCAACAGCAAGGGCATCTGCTCTTCTACTGCAGACTCCGTGGGTACCCATGCCATAGTCTCCATCCTCGCCAGTCCTGAAGAAGTCATGCACAGAAGCTAGGTCTTGGCACAGGTGCGCAAGTAAGTGTCTTTGGCCTCTGATAGCTCTTAGGTTACAAAAGTCTATGAGCAAATAATTTTGTTGCAATCTTGGTATGGGGTGTTGGCCTTAACCCTTTATAATGGGCAGGAAAGGGATCACCCCCCTTTCACCTCTATACATGGTTATGGTATACTTGTGTAATTGTTCATTGCACTATCTGTGAAACCATTTGTGGCAAACATATGTGTTATATTCCTTCATGCTGCCCCATGCTTCAACCTACAAAAATCTCTGGCAAGAGACATACATACTGGCCTAGATTATACCTTTTGGAGAGTTGTGTGTGCTACATCAAAACTCCACTCCTCATATTCTTCTTTTTTCCTGGTCTGATTCTAATCATAATTCCAAAGGAGAGAAGAAGGTAGGCAGAAATATAGGACACTAGTAGTTTAACCTTGGGTATCATAACCAATTACCCTAAGCAAATGTAGAAGAACTCACTATAAAAACACTGGGTGTGTTACTGTTTCAGGCTGCCAGCTACAGGAACTAAGCCTGGGCATCAGAAGCAAGAGAGCATATCAGGAGAACTTGGAGGCTCACTGACAAAGGGAAGTTGGAGGCCTTGACTTGGGAAGGTGCTGAGACATCAAGAGCCACAGCTGTGATCCTCCAACCTCCAGCAGGAAAAGGCTGGCCATTTGCTGCCCCTGCAGTTGCAACATCTGACTGTAAAGCTCCTCAAAGATTTATTTCAAGTCTTGGGACAGCATCCGACAGCCTGGGCTACTATTTGCAATAACAGGATGAGAGAAGCCCTAGTTATGAAGCTTACAGAAGAAAGACAGGCACTTCCCCATCTTCCAAGATCTTTCATGGAAACCAGGGTGTGTGTATGGGCAGGGAGGTATTTTAAGGGGAAGGTTGAAAGCTGGGAACCAAAAATGCAAATGATCACCACAAGAGTTATCTCAGGTCTCATGAACAGGGAGACTCATGAAGAGTAGGACTCAGGAACAATTTCAAGAGTCTGTTTTCTGTTCCCCCACTTCACCTTCTACTCTTGAGCACCTTCTTAGTAGAATTTCTCCACTTCTCTCTCCATGTGACCCCTTCTGAATCTCCCATTCTTTTCATGTCAGCTCCAGTCACTCGGGCTGGCATCTGAATCCTAATTCCAAAGATGGGCATGGTGGTGCACACCTGTAATTCCAGCACTTGGGAGGCTGAGGCAGGAGGATCGCTGTGAGTTTGAGACCAGCCCGGGCTATATAGTGAGTTCCAGGTCAGTCTCAACTACATAATGAGACCCTATCTCAAAAAACAAAAAAACAAAAATCCTAATTCCAAATTCTTGGAAAAGATAATCTGACTGATTTCACTTGAGTAGTCACAGAGAAAATTGTCCTTTAAATAGAGATATCAAATGTGTCCTACAAATTGAAAAATTTGAATAACATATTCACTAAGATTTTATTTCTGTGCAGAAAATTTTGAAGACAGCCTGCTGTATGAATAATGTAGATGTGTTAGTTACTTTTTTCATTGCCGAGACAAAATACCCAATACCCAAAGTCAGAGGGGAAGAGGTTTATTTGGCTTACAGTTCATAGCGGTTTCACAGTTCATAATTAGCTGACTCCAAGGCAGGGATGGCAAACAGGCATTAGAGAAGAGAAACGTGGCGTGCACAAGATAGCAAAGGCAACAAGAGACTTTAATAGTGACTTTCTTTTTGGGGGTGGGGGTTGAGACAGCGTCTCACTATGTAGTTGAGACTGACCTGGAACTCACTATGTAGTCCAGGGCTGGTCTCAAACTCACACTGATCCTCCTGCCTCAGCCTCCTGAGTGCTGGGATTACAGGCATGCACCACCACACCCAGTTTAATAATGACTTTCTACTCCTTTTATTCAGACTACTGCGATTGAGGCTGTGCCAAGCCAATAACTCACTTGTGGTGTAGTAATCACACACCCTTAATCCTAGCATCACAAATTCCAGATTTAGCCATCTTTGAAAAAGACTACATGAGGCTTTGGGGGACATCTAGCCAAAAACAATAGGTAAGTTTAATCCACAAAGAAATTAGATTCTTTTCAAATAAATTTAGTTACTTTTACTATTGTTATTCCAAATGTTCCTGAAAAGGCTCATTGTTTTGAAGGCTTGGTTGTCAGCTGATGGACTTTTGGAAGGTGATTGGATCACAAGGCCTGTAGCCTTCTTGATGAACTAATCCACTGATGATTTCATAGCTCAATGGGATTTTGGGGGTGGGGCCTAATTGGATAAAGTTGATCAATGGGCGTGGCTTTGAGGGATGTTTGTCCTTCCTCTCTGGCTTCTTTTCTCTCTGCTTCCTGGCTGCTAAAAGAGGAGCAGCTTTCCTCTGCCATGGCTACAAACCTAAAAACAATGGAACCAGCCAATCATGGACTCAAACTGTGAGCCAGTTTTCTCAGGTATTTTGTCACAGTGAAGAAAGGCTGATTACCACAGTCACACCATATTTGTAAGCAGACAGGTATTTCTTAGATCCAATTTTAACTGTGCCATAGTGCCAGTCGATGTTACTTTATGCATCTGGATGGAGCCAAACTATACTTATTAAAAATATACCATAATTCATGTTTCCTTTTATCCCAGTGCAATTAAAATTTTCTTCTTACTTGGCACCCTTCTCTAAAACTTGAATATAGCCAACTGCTTGCCACATGCATGACTCCTATAAATATTGGTAAATGAATGAATGCATCGACTAATCACTTTGTCCAAAGTTGTTTTATCCAGCAACAAAATGGCCAAGCTCTGTGTAAAAGACTTTGATTACTTCACATGCTCTGAAGACTGCCCCTCCTAGTTCCTTCTTTCCGGCTTTGCCTGACTTTGCTTATCCCCATTTTCACAGCCTTTGTCCACGTCCCCATCATTACTCACCTTGACACTGCTGTAGCTTCTAATTCACCTCCATTCTGGCCCTTTCCACTTCTCCAAAAGATAGCCAGAGGGAGTGTTTGAGGAATAGATGGGATCCTGCCACTTGATAGAATAAGCAGGCTTTAGTCAGCTTCCCACAGGCTGCAGGTTTTCAGTATCCCTCCCTTGTCCCACCATTCCTTAATCTATACTCCAATCACTTTCTTGTCCTCCACTTCTCCCAGGGCTTTGTCACTTCTCCCAGGAACATTGTCTTTCTCTGTGCCCACTTCAGTCTTGGCCCTGCAAACTTCTAATTGACCTTTAGATACCATATCTAATAGTTCACTGTCTGGGAGTTAACTAGACGAGAGCTCCCTGCTATCTGCTCTCATACTCCCCCATTTTCTAATCTTAATTGCATGTATAAATTTGTACATGGTATATGATTGGCTTGATCATCCAGTGGTCAGTTTCCCCCAGCAAAGTGGAAGTTCTAGGGGCTGTATAAATTTACTAGGGCTGTTATAATGAAATACCACAGACTAGGTGACTTAAGAGAAATTTGTTTCTTACCACTTGGAAGTCTGAGATCAGTGTGTTGGTAGGCAGATGTAGTTTCTTTGGAGGCTTCTCTCCTTTGCTTGCAGATGGTTACTTTTGTGCTGTGTTCTCATATGGTTGTTTCTGTGTGTCTGTAGATCCGTGGTTTATCTTTGTGTGTCCATGTAAGGACACTAATCAGATTGGATCAGGGCCCACTCTCATGGCCTCGTTTTAACTTAATCACTTCTTTAAAGGCCTTATCTCCAAATCAGTCACATTCCGAGGTGCTAGGGGTTAAGTTTTAAAGTACACGGTGGCGGGGGCAGGAATACAAGTTAGCCTATAGCAGGGATCATGTCATTTCTGCTCACCATTGCATCCCCATCATTCAGTAGAGTCTAGCTTGTCATAGAACTGGTACTTGGTGTAATTTCAACTCCTCTTTTGCTCTCCCCACCACCATATATTGTACTAGAGGAAAAGAACAGGAAGAAGCACAGACTGCTGCAGAGGATCATAAGTGACCACAAGAAAAGTTTGCTATTCTGATCTTGAAATTACAGACCTTTTGGGGAATAGTACTAGAATCTCCAAATGGAGCAAAACTGCCCCCCTATCAATAGCTAGCCTTTCCTGCCCTATGTGTATCTGCTGCCTCCATGGACTGCTCTGAAAAAAGTTTTGCCATCTAACTGGCTCTCTTTAGAAGGTGAGTCACAGGCTGCTGGGGGTGTGGATCTACACAGCTCCCTACAAGCAGTTTAACGACAGGTTCTAGAACCTAAAAAAAGTCATGTCCTGTAATCTTATAATTCCAAGGCTAGGACTCCGCCATGAGGAACCATGTATTAGAAGGGGGCAAAAGGGGGTTTATATACCGGTTTTAATCATTTTTAAAAAATATTTTGCACTATTATAATAGATTCTAGGAAGAGCTAAATGTATAACAGTCGGAAGAAGGGTTGGGATCTAGTACATTTATATGACAGCAATTATTTAGCAACTGAAAAAGTTGTTCATAGAAATGTTTAATGATGCAAGATAAAGTTGCTATGAAAAAGTGGGACATAAGGCTGGGTATGCCTAACATGCCCCGATTTCCATCCCCAGCACTGAAGAAAAAAAAAAGTATATGTTCTCTGAATGCAAGTAGAAAAACAAAGAATACTGTAATTTAACATGCATTCAGACAGAAAAACCCGGATTGGTAAATATTCAAATGTTAATTTTTTAAAGAACCAGATTTCTTTTTTCATGGTCTGTTTTAAGTTTAGCACGTGTTACTTTTACTACCAGAAAAGAAGAGATAAAGTTTTTAAATCAGTGGAGCTGCGACTCAATGAAATTCTAAGCTCCTAGGGAACGCACTGTACCTGGGCCTGTTCTGTCCTTCCCTGGGATCTGCTGTCTTACCCTAGGCGGTTAAGCTGCCTTCCAGAAAGAGAATAATCCCTGCGGCAGGACCTCCTGGTGCAGCCCTGGGCTGGACGTGGAAGGTCAGGAAGGGCCCCAGCGGTCCTGCTGTCCGGGAGCGGGATCTGGGGTACGCTGGGTTCCTAGTGTCGTGTCCAGCCCCCGGGCCATCGCGGCCGCCGCCCAGTCGGCTGTTCCACGGCCAGGTGCAAAGTGCCCTGTCATTGGAAAAGCCCGAGGCAGGCCACAGCGTTAGATTACATCTCCACGGAGCCCGAGTAGGTCTGCGGGGGTGGAAAAAGAGCAGAAGCCCGTTTTTGCAACGCCTGCTTACCGCCGTTGACCGTAGCCAGGGGCGGGGACCTAGCCTAGGCCCCTTGGAGCAGCCGGGGCTGGTCTATTCCCCTTTAAGAGCAACAAGCAGCTCTGAGCCTGGGAGCCAGAGAGCCCGCTCCAGGGAGGAGACCTCCGGACTGCGCCCCGGCCCGCGGAGTTCCTTCATAGTCCTCTGTGCTCCCGGGGCGCACGGAGCCCTACGCGCGAGTCATGCTGAGACTCTTCATTCTCTATGCGGAGAACATCCACACCCCGGACACCGATATCAGCGATGCCTACTGCTCCGCTGTGTTTGCAGGTAGGAGGGGCCAGAGACCCGGGTGGGAATGATGGGGGTCGGGTTGGAGATTCAAGGGCTCTCTACTCTGGAGAGCACCTGAAGGTGCGAGACCAGACAGCCCGGCCCCGCAGGATGTCGGTTGAGTGTTGCTTCAAAGATATACATTCATGAGGAGTGACCCAGAGGGAAACCGAGGCTGTGTGAGCGAGCTGGCTGCTTGCGCTTCTCCAGGGCCTGGAAGTTGAGCTCCTCCGGGAGACATTGAGGTTGGTCAGGAAAGAGGGATCAGCGGTTGTCTTCTCGCTGCCCTGTGGGCGCTAGAGCCCTGAACTGTAAGGTACCTTCTCTCCCCAGAAGGCCTGGTCCCAGGTCTATTTATAACTCAGCTCTTCTCACCATGCCTGGTCTGGCTACTATCCTCAGCCCTTGCTCATTACAGAGGCTGTGCTGGCAGGCTGGCTGCCCCTGGGGGTGGAGGAATGACTACCCCTGCAGGAATCTTATCTTTGCTTTGGGCTCAGGATGCGGGAAATTTAGCTGCTGGGCACATGTGTCACCAGCACCAAACTTTAGTGACTACCTGCCCCCCTCACCAGACCGGGTGGTATCTGATCTCCATCATTGCCTTGAGCCACCTTAAGCAGTACAGCCTGCTTTCTCATCAGACTGAGACTTCCACCAAGAACCTCTTCACAGGGATTGTACCTGGCCTTTTCCTCCAGGAAATATGTAGGACCTATCTGCTTCCCCAGGACTCCCTTACTGTCAAGCCAGTACTGAGGTCTACACAGCTGGGTTTTAGCCTTAGAGCTGTAGTGGGGGAGAAGGGTTTGATTGTGTCTCCTCGTGCTTTCTGTGGGCCCCCTTCTCACCCTGCATTAGAAGCCACATCTCATCTTCCAGGAAGTCTGACTTCTAGAGGACCATCAGTCAGCACAGACCTTCCCTTTCAGTTTCACTGGCTCTGGGGTACCCTGTTCCCTGACACTGTGTATACATATGCTCCCAGGTATATGCCACCCTGAAGCCTGTGGGATATCAGCCATGCTCTGAGAACACAGGCTTGATACCACCACAACACACACGCGCACACACACACACACACACACACACACACACACGTGTCATATTAGATGCACTCACTGCTGGGTGTGGGATTCCAGGTTTCCCATCTGTCTTTGTTGAACCAAGGAAGGAGCTAGAGGAGTTGCTGAGTAAGTCTATGGCATGAGAAGCATTGTGCAATGGTGCTTTGTTCCTAACATGTTGCGTTGACTTATTTTCCTACCAGTTTCCCACCATAGCCTCCGGAAATGAGATTTATCAAGGTGTTTCCAGCAGAGAGGACAAGGGTGTTTTCATGCTTCCTCTCTACATCCTCATGTCTGGTCAGAGCAGCCAGTAGCCTGTCTTAGTTGCCAGGTTGAAAGCTCTGCGCTCCATATTTACCACTCCAGGGGGCACCATTTACACTGTAAATATCCCCTGGCTGAGGGGAGGGAGGATGTTATTGCCAGGGAGAGAAGACAGGCACCCTAACTGCTCTGGGGAATTCCCCCAAGTGGAGGGCTGAACAGCCTTTGTGAACAGCACCATCCGCAGCTGTGTCATGCACAAGGCACACTCATCCTCGGCAGTCGCTGTTCTCTGGGGCCTTGTCTCCTCTGGTATCCACTCAGCCTGACCAGATTTCCCTCTGCCTTCTCTGACCACCCCCTGCAAC